AAGGAGCAGGAGAAGAAAGATGAAGACAACGAAGAAGAAATGGGAGAAGAGGATGAAGAAGCCAAGCAGAACAGGGTGCAGTATATGTTTAAAGGCTCAGACACTTTGGCAGGTGTCCATCCAAACCCTCAGGTCCCACTGACTCGTGCACCTTGGTTTGTTGAATCTTACAGTCTTTAAATATTTACTCAAGAGTTTATGACAGAGTAGGGACACTGGAAGACAAATGTCTCTGTGGGCCAACACCCGTCTGGGACAAATCATAAACACCCAGAAGCACAGGATTGAAAAAGAACGTCTTTGAACGCAGGACATTACAACTGGCTCCTTTATGTCACGTTTCAATGACGTCACCAAAGCTTCACAACCCCGGAACTCCCGAGAGCCCTTGAAATATTAATATTTTTAACGGGTCCAATAATTGGCGTGTCCCTGATGAGAGCCATTCATGTACCATTGGAAATGCGTGGGGCATTAAGGTACCATCGGAAATTTGAGAATCCTACTCAACTTTTTAAATAACTTGCATATATTTGCTATATTATTATTACATTCGTAGTCTTGAAATGATGTTGACCATATTATCGTTTAATGGAATTCATTTTACACTACTAACTTCACACTGTATTTTTTTACCCACGTCAATTTTTAAATATTTTTCTACAAAACTTAGTTTTTTTTAAGTTACCACTTTTATAGAAAATCTAATCTTTTGTACTGGAAGAAACTTTTTAAGCAGCATTTTTTGCAAAACAGTGATAACAATGACAGGATGTCTTAAAAGCAGGACTGATGAAAAGATAACAGGCAATAAAGGAACCACAGCCTGGAGTGACCTGGACGTGGCAGACCAAACCACTTATTAGAAAACAAGCTTTAAAACAACAGAAATGGAGACTGTGTTATACATGAAAATGACTCAGTGCACTTTCAATAAACACCAACGTATGCAGTATATGTTTATTAAGAAGGGAAAATCTAGGTGGAAAAAAGGAAGGGTGTGTGTTTGTGTGTTTGGGACACGTATGAATGGCTGAAGCCCCGGGTTGCCCCGGTGAAGCCCGGCTTTATAAACAAGCCTGGACCCACTGTAACAACACACAGGAATCCTGCAGCGTTTGTTTGAGGCGGGGGAGAATCGTCCATGTGGTTGTACATCTCCAGACGGAGAAGCTGAGGAGAAAAGAGAATAGTTGAAGGAAAAGGGGCCCCGTGGTGCTGTATGGGCCGCCACAGGAAATAGGCAGGGCTCTGTGAGAGGTAGTGTAACAAAAGGGGGGCCATGAAACAGATTGTCTCGAGAAACCGTTATGACTAGGTCGCATAGCAAAACTATGATGAAAACATCACAAACAAACTTTAAACTCCAACATTTTTTGAGTGTGATTATAGTCAAACTCTATACAATCACTTTTTTTTTTTGATCTCCAATCTTAAAAATTGATGAACAGTCTGGCAGAGAGGTGTGAAAGTAACCAGACTCCTGACTCATTTTGTTCAGCCGACAGTGAGCGACACTGCTCAATAATTAATGAAGCTAAGGCTACAGGCCTGAACGTCTGTGTCCTGTGGCAACAGAGCAAGAAGCTGCAGGATTATAAGGCGACGGCAAACCTCCCTTTGTTTCAATGAGAGCAGCTACAAACACAAGCTGTACACCAGGGGTGTCAAACTCAAATTAACAGTGGGCCAAGATCAATATTTGGTGAAACATTGACAGCAATTGTCCATGTTTTCCGTTTTTCCCCCAGATATAGAATGTAGAATGTTTTCATATGGAAACTAATTTTAGTTTTGTATAAACATTGAATCTGGAAGAACCAAACTTAAATGTTATAAACACATGAGAAATTAACTGTGAAATAAAACACACATCAATGGTATTTGTTTCTTATTATGTCTCTTTATCTGTAGCCTTTCAAGTTATTTTTTAATGTAAATCTTTTTTTTTTCAGGCCAACAAAAAAAAAAAAACCCACTAATACTACAATGTTTAATATGATCCTGCGGGCCAAATATAATTGCACTGCGAGCCAGATTTGCCTCCCGGGCCTGAGTTTGACACGTGTGCTCAACACAAATGAAACAGACAAGACATTTCTTTCCCTCACCAACCCACCAGAACGTTCCCACTGGGGTTTTGATGGGGTTGTTAGTCTGCACATACGAGTCACTGATTGTTCCGTAGAGATTTCTCACTCAGTTTGTGGCTTTGACTCAGTACGAGTAAAAAACACAATTGTTATTTCAAGGTAATAATGTAGGAATACTTAAGTTGGAGATGTTTTTCACTATTCCACTATTTGGTCATACAGACATTTGTTGGGGCCCTGGTGTTTTTGTTTTTTTTTCATTTGATGTTTGGGAATTTATTGTTTGTCAATTACAGATGAAGTCAATACGGACGTCTTTACAAAATGTTGCTAACCAATACAGGGGACAACAATACCTGGGATATTTAAGACCAATAATCTTGAATAGTTACTTCTGTCCATGGAATCACTGGCATTATTGCAACACAGCAGACGAAGCACATTTGATCTTAATGTAATGTGCATCATCTGGGTTTGTAGAATTGGTAAGCAGAATTAATAAACAAGTTAAAATCTAGCTGAAAATTCAAAGATCGTTTGAAGAGGCTAATAACAGTGACACTGCTTTTACAACTGATGTTTGGACATGTGACATTGTTTCATGTCTGTGCTGTCACAGATTGTGCAGACATAGTGGAGATTTTCATTTAATACCTTATTCTAGTCACCAAGAATTGGAATAGCTACAAAGCTGGACTTCCTTAAACACAAAATGTATATTTTTTTTTTGTGTAACAAAAATGGGGGGAGCTTCAGTGACCCATGCAGGCTCCTGTAGAAATGTAAACAGTCAGTCTCATATATGTATGGTGCAAACACATGTCAGAACATTCATTTGTCTGTTGACGTTTTAACCCATAGCAGAGTGCAGTGCTACAGTGATATGTTCAACAGTGATATGTTTGTACAAACACATTCTTTTACAACAATACCTATAGGGACACTCAAGGTATTTTTAACCTTCGGGATATAGAATTGGCGCGCTCCCCAAAAATAATCCAACACTGTATAAAACACAACTGTGATCTACTCAAATATGACATGTCAGGATCTTGTGTGTGGCGTTGACAAACAAAAACAGTGCAATATCACAGTGGGAAGTGACACAGAGGAGAATGCAAGTAAAACAGGTTCAGTCATGTCCTCAGGTTGTCCTTGGAGATTTTACTGTCAACTTCCTTTTTTGTACTTCACTTACTTCCCCCCACTTTCTTTGCTCCCATGGACTCTTGGACTGATTTTGTCCTGTTTTGAAATAAGCCACTATACCACAGTTTCCTGCCGATGCATTGGTTGAGGTGACGTGTGTCACCTTCATTGACTTAGCTCCAATAAACTACAGTTTGATACCAATAACTCTATTTCACATCTTGGCTAACACTTAGCTTCTTCCTCACAAAGTTACATGGCTTTATCTTTCAGAAATATAAAATTATTTTTTGACAATAAGAGTTATCTTTCAGCCATTTTTGCATCTTCATGTTAACTTCAGATTTGTTGTTATTTTGTCTGGTTTGTTACATTTTTGTTCACATGAATCACTACATGCAACAGCACAGCAAGATGTTTTCACTCAACACTGATTGACCTTGAGGCGTTCTAACGATTCCCAATGTTTTTAATGTTATATTTTATTTTTTGACAAATAAGTTCTGCTATTCTAATTCAGATTTATCTCAGATAACTAGGCACATTTTAGCCATTTCTGGGCGATTTTCTTTTTACCTAAAAGTAAAAAATAAATAACAGATTTTATGTACCGTATTATTCAGTCATCATGTCAAGTTTTTGATTTTACTTATTATTTAATACTCTTCTGATAATCAACATAGCCTCTCCTTATAGCCAATCATCTCTTAACAAAAGACCAAGCCTCCTCTGCTGACGCCCTGAACTGTAAAGTCAACTACTTAATTCTGTTTTCTCCAATTAATAATACCGTTAGTTGCAACTTCAAATACTTTTTTTCCAACAGTTGTTGATCAGCATTAAAGCTAAACCCTCCAAAACTAAGACCTAATTTGACGTCCCTGAATGGTCTCATCACCCTTGAAGGCAGATCTCTGTACAAATAAGAACTGCACACAGTGACAATAAGCCTCAGTGGGTTAATTTGCCTCTACTGGGACAGACGACCAAGTACAGTGTGTGTCTGCACACACATCTCCCGGGTTACACATATAGTTAAGTGCTTGCCTTCTATCTTTTCCACTTCACACCTCCTGTGGCCTCACATATACGGTAAGCCACAGTGACCAAATTTCACAGGCACTGTACTGATATAATCTCCCAGCGTGTGACACCACATGTTAGCAGACTGTAAATAGGAACCTCCTCTTTCAGGACGTCTCCGTCTTTGCTGCTATTTTCATAAAAGGAGGTCAAGGAACAATGTGAGGAAGCTGAATAGAAATGGGAATAACCTCCTATGTGCTGCAGGACTCCCTGCAAAATGATGACAGAAATAGGGCATGTTTTGACCTTTCAAAAATAAACTCCGCATTTCGGCAGTTGCAGTATGGATTTGATTGATTGATTGATTTGAAAAAGTTGTTACGAGCCATCCCTAATAATTACATTTATGTTTTAGTTTTTTCATTCTAGTGCCAACTTTGTCTAACTGTAACTGTTTGGGCAACTATATAGTGTCTATAAACTTTTTTTTTTAATTTATATTGCATCTTGTATTAACGATCCTGCTAACAACAAATAACTTGCCGGCCAATGAACTGCTGTAAAACCAGTAGATTCTCATTGTATACTTCTCTTCCAGAATGTGCCTCACTCACTGATACCAAATAAATATCCAAAATATTAAAAGGCCAGCCACTTTTTCCTTAAAATAGAATTCTTACCACCCATCAAAAAACATCATCTATCTTGGTCATTTATTTCTCTTCGACTTACCGTTGAAGAAGCTCTTGACCTTCAGGTAACCCACGCTAAGACGCAGCACTGACAGCTTATCCAGCCGAGCCCTGACTTCTTCGGTAAAGGGCAGCAGGCTGGTGAGCTTGTCCAGCTCACCGTTGAGTCGGTCACGGTGACGTTTGGATGGGTTGGACTTGGTGGCATTAGACGGTGGAGGTTTGGGGCTGCAGAAACAAAACAATGTTATTTAGTGTAGAGGAGAAATAAAAATGACACAAAATTTGACAAAATAAAAAGTAGAATGACCCCTGAAAGGATCAGCCAAAAGAACATTATACATTGATTAAAATGTTCACAATTCATGTAACAATTCTATGAAAAATTATCCATTGCCCGTTTGAATAATAAAGCTGTAAGTTTAACATGGAATACAAACATATACGAGTCCTGAAAAGATTACGTCAAGTTGTGAGTTGAGTCACGGCACAGACAAAAATTAGGTCAAGATATTCTCCAGAGCCGATGCCATGGTGACATAGGACCAGGTGAATAATAATATTACCTAGTACAAGAGTTGCATTTGTGCACAGCTCATCTCTTCTGATACAAATATATAGGTTTTAAATCTAATTAAATATTATGGGGACATTCTTATTGCCAGTGTGTGTAGCATTGGGGTGGAAAAACATTTGGGTACAAAAATCTTTCACAAGCCAGAGAATCAAATATCGCTGTAGTATTACAGATATGATAAGGTAAGGTAAACAGTAGCCCAATAATAATATACAGGGCATAATAGGGCTAGGGCTACCGATACCAATAAACCAATAAAAACATGTACATGCTACAGTTACATAAGAAAAAAAGAATTAAGAAAAATAATAACACTGAAATGAAGATTCAACAATTTTTATATTTACCTCATGTGAACATTGAGGAGTTGCATCATTTAAACAAAGCAAATTGGTTTCATATCTTCTCAGACATCTCCAAATAAAATTCCTCATTCTCACTATCCTTAAATGACACTCTGAAAGCAAATTATGACTTAATTTCAAACAATGTGTTATTTTGCAACAATAAAGTCCAACGTCAATTATGAATTACTCAGGATAAAAAGTAATAACCATAACCATATTTTTGGTTTCCTTCTGCCAAGATTTCTGCCGTGGTGGGACAAGAAGACTTAGGAAGAAGAGTTTAGAACAGTGCACTTTAGTTATAATGTAGAAACATCTTCGTAGACCTGGCTGTATTTCAGTCATGTGAACAGCCGAGTCAATTTGATTATTTCTTGGATCATGCACATTACACAAGTTAAATGTACCGTTGCTTTGTGGAGGGACAGAGTAGGATTGCTAAAAGCTTGCAAGCATACAGTAAGTCAGTCGAAAACATTTTAGTGGACAAAGGCAAATTTTAAACTTTAAAGGCAGCTTGAGCAAGCCTGTCCTCAGTGTGTACGGGATCGCTGAGCGTTTTCATTTGCAATACATTGTTAGGTTAGTGGATGAATAACTGCCATGGGGTTTTTTGTTTTTTTTTTTGAGACCGTGTTCTGCATATCCTGTTGTTCGTTGACCTGAGTGACGTGAGTTCAGTGAGTGAGTGAGTGAGCGAGGGAGAGAAAGAGAGAGAGAGAGAGAGAGGGTGTTGTAAGGAAAATGTGAGTTGTAGCTGTGACATCGATTCTGTCAGAAGTTTTGTCCTTTAATTTTTGTTGATAAAACTTAGTTTACCCGGTTAATTTAGGGGAACTAACTTGTTCCCCTAAATTAACCGGGAAACCACCACAAAGTCGTTCATGACAACAACTTTAACGCTATCACTGAGCACAAGTGAAGACAGGACTACGTTTAAACACTGAGTATTTTAAAAGGTATACAGAATCAACATCCTCAGAACCTCAGTCATGAATAACAGACAGAACAACGGTTCTGGTCATATTGCCAGCGTATGTTAACTGTTTGCCGTGGTTTTGGATTGAGTTACTGACTGGAACTTATCAAATATAGTTTGATAAATGTTAAATACATGTATACAGTGTATTGTGAAAGTGCAAGAAAAAGAGAGAAAAATATTTTGGTGTAATAATATTATTTCATATTATTTGTGTATATAACTGTTGCTACCTTTTTAGATGTATTTGGATTTTTAAATAGTTTATTATATTATTTATTTTATTTTTTGAAAGTTGCTGAACTGAGGAGTCAGTGCAGTTTGTGTGAAACGTTTTATAAATACTTGTGATGAGAATACAAATTTTGGGCTTCAAAAAAAAACCTATTATTTGTGAATGATGTGAATTGAAAAAAAAAATTGCCCAAGAAAATTCAATCGCTGTGCCTCTAGTTGAAAGCCTTATATTAGTCAGTCTCTTCATCATTGGTTAAGGTCTGTAGGCTTCAAAGCTCAGCTGTACTGGAGTGTGGACATGTCAAACGTGGACATGGGTCCTGGCAAAAACCCTTCTTCCCTCAATTTGGTAAATACGACATCTGACTTCAATAAGACGTTAGAACCTAACATATCTGAAATCCAGGAGAGATGACTATCACTGCATTCCTAAAGGCACAACTCCTCGCAAGAACAATGAGTGGCCAGTGTTATGCTTCTCACTTTATCTACTCAATCTGTCCTGGAAGGGGCGTGGTTACGTGAGTGTGCATGTGTGTATGTGTGTGTGTGTGTACGAGTGCATTTGCGTGCATAGGAGTGTGGAAATGTGTTGGATTTAAAAAAAAAAAAAAAAAAAAACACTCCCTTGCACTCACACAAAGACACTTTGTCTTGGACGGGGAAATGACACCTTTGCGTAACAAAAGAAATACAAAACCTCTTTGGCATCTGCTCCCTGCTCCGAGTCATGATCCAGGGAAAAAAGAAGTGCAAAAGAGTGCCAACAATACCAAGCCCATGATAAACTATACCCAGAGCTGAACCAGAGGTGCTTGCCAGTTTGTGCTAACTACGCCTATCTAGAGCAGCATGGAGGGATCAGTGAACACTCAGTCAAAAAGAAAGTGTTGTGTTTTGATTAATTACCATAGTTTTCCAACCATAACATTGAAACATAAGTATCTTCTAAAAATTAATTCATCTCTGTTGAAGTGAAGTGCTGTCAAAAAGGGTTCAGATCATTTTGATTCGATCAGCTTGATCACTTGGTTCCTCAATCACAACATATCCTTTGGTCGCCCAGTTTTATTCTGACAGAATGGAAGCTGGAAAACCAAATCGATTATTAAACTTTACCTTCTGGTTTAGGACTAACAGGTTGTGGTCTTTTTAACCTCTGTTCCCAATAACAAATGAAAAAGTGATTAAAGGACAAAAAAATAACAAAAACACTAAGCAGATATACAACTTTTAGTTGGGGTACAGGACGGTTTCGGGACAATTATTTTCCTGACCCCCCCAGAAAAAAATGAATTTATTAACTGTCAGTTTATTTGGTTTGCCAGCTTGTACAGCTTTACTCCTTTTTTGGTTGCATCCTATTTTTAACATTTAACATTAGTTAACATTTGACTATTGTTTTACTACAAAGTTTGGCAAAACAATAGCAAGTTTTAAAAAAAGTCCTTTCTTCCCCACAGAGATTTCTAAAGGTCTTCAATGTTTCCTCTAACTAACTGGTGCACCAAAAAGTCTTTTGCCTGCAACTAAATCCAATATCAATTTTAAAAAACTATTAATGCATTTGATAAAGTTGATCAAATACAGTACAATTGAAATGATGGTCATTATCATGGGTATCACAGAATGGCTATTAAAAACAGGTCATTTTTGGAGATTGTTTGGACACCACTCATGTCACGGGGTTTATTTATTCTGTAAATATAACTTTAACCACAACACACTTATCAGATCAAATCTTGATCTGTGTTGTGTTTACATTAGTAGCATAATAATTACAATAATATCTACTTAATAGAAAAATAAACAAAGGCAGGCGTGGTGCATCAAGGAGAAGGAGGTGGCATAAACAACCAGCGTGCCATGTGGGAACTGTGTGTGCAGCATGGGTGCAACCCCGCAGCTAACAATTCACTGTCTGGGCTACAGAAAGGCTTCTTTACAGCTATGTCGCCATGGTGGCACCATCTGTTGTTACTGAAGTTCACCGGAGACGGATGAAAGACACGGGATCCAATACAACCATGCCTGTGTAAAAGAAACCCAACTGATGAATAAATAAGGAAATAAAAACAACAGCTACACCTCATCAAGCCAATTAAAAAAAAGGTTCATACAACTGGGTGCAATGATATAACTGTGTTAATCAGTGCCAATCCTCAAAACCTTCAGGAAGTGAAAGTTGGGCCAATAATGTCCGTCATGTGTTACTCATGAAAGGAAAGGCAAGTTTTCTGCTGCAGGCCTCAAGATGAATAAGCATGACTGTGCCAGTGTCACATCCTGCAGCAGAAAACACAAACGGCTCAGTAGCAGCGCTCGCTGGGTTTAAGTACATCCCTGGGCCTGATGTGACCTCTGTAGCATTCTACCCTTGAATGCAATCTGAATAATGTACAGTTAAAGGTGAATACCATAGTTAAGAGATACTTCTCAAAAACCTACAGCATTTATGAAGTTGGAGACCTGCTGTGACTTCTATGCTCATACACACCTGGATAAAATGTTAAGACCATGAAAGATTCAATGGATGGTGGATGGTGACCAGGTTGTACACAGACCTTCAAGAACGACAACAGTAAGAACCTCCACCAATCTTGGTGATCTCCTCAAACGTTTGTTGAAGCACGCAACCGTTTCCAACTGACTGATGAGGATGCTGCTCCAAGTGGTGAAGATGGCTTCAAAGAGGCATCCAGAGTTTGGAACTGACATCTTTTTTTGTAGTTATCTTTTGTCATCCATCCCCATTTGGATTTCAAATGTAATGTAGGATTTCCAAAAGAGTACTGTTGTCCTAGAGGAAGTCCACTGACAGGGAAGACATTATGGATGGTAGGGTATACCAGTTTCCAGCATTTTTATTAGAGTTAAGAGTGGGAGGGTTTAATAACTATGTGGACTTTAGTTTGGTGCTTTTTTTTTTTTTTTTTGACATTTTGGTTGGTTGAATGCAAGTTACAGCTATGGACAGAAAATTTCACCAGCAGGTACACCATTGGCTGAAACAACCGTAGTACAGTATAACCATGTATGTTTTGTCCATTATTGTATGCATCAGTAAAGCACATATCTAATTTCGTGTTTATTTAACTTATGTGAAAGCATGACTGAGAATTTCAGTGTTCTGTTCTCTCAGAGCCATGTAAACACAAAGGTAAACTGCCTGAGGGCAGGCTGCTAAAACACCGCCTCCTGTCCGCCCTGCAGGTTAAACAAACTCTCTCTCTCATTCATATACATATATATGTGTGTGTGTGCGCGCACGTGTGTGCGTGTGTATATATATATATCCTCTAAGAGAAGAAAAATGAAAGAAAAGGATATATAAACTCCAAATGAGCAACTTTTTCTTAAAACAAAAAAAAAAAAAAAAACAAATCAAGGGAGCATGGCAGACTTACGTAACTAGTTGCGTGACACAGAACTATGTTAATTTGAGTCAAGGGAAGGAGGAAAAAAACAAACCACCAAAAAAAGAAAAATGAACAACACACACACAGAAAGACAGAAGGAAAGACAGGAAAAAAAGTATGTTGTTGCAGTCAGAAGGAGGAGGAGAAAAAAAACAGAGCAAGTCTCAGATTACGCCATCCTCCCTCCTTCCCTCCCTCCCTCATGGAAACATTGCGTGAGAGTGCTCTTGCTTTGCGTCCTGATTATGATTAATGCAGGTAGTACCACACACACACTGAAACCACGATACTGGCAGGGTTCTGGGTTTGGTCCTCTGCTCCAGCCTGTGGTTCTGTGTGAAGCAGTTAACACTCTGTTTGGCTTGTAAAAGTTAAAAAATCACAAAGTGGCAAAAGAAAAAAAAAATCACAGCCATGAAGACGAAGAGGCTGGAAGGAACTCGTCACTCACACACACACACACACACACACACACACACACACACTCGAACAAACTGTCTAGCATTCAACTTTCTCATGGTAGGATCCTGTCAGCAAACTGAAGACTTTAAAAGTAAATGAGTTATCCTGGTGTTCCCAAGTGAGGAGAAACTAACAACGTAGATGAATTAAATTGTAAAAACTGAGCCACAACAAACAGAGTGCTACAATGGTCATAAAAGTAACTCTGTACCAGCATGAAGAAACGAACCCCTTTTAGAGCATAACCTATATGAGAGACAGAGAGTGCTCTCCAATCTGGTTGATAACCTTGCACAGTTGGCGGCTACATGTAGCTGTATCCCAGGGCTGCAAACCAAACCCCAGGCTGCCATCACACCCTGCTGCTGAAGGAGGTCCAGATTATGACTAAAGGTTAGCATTAAAACCTGTGCAACATCACATACAGGTTTTCAGTTGTTGTAATAATGCAGCTTAAAGTGACATTTTAACGTCTTAACTTTTGGTAACTTTTGGTTTGGCAAACACTGTGAACAGCCTCATACAGAGGATTAGTTTGGTTGCAATCTGAAACCTTGCCACTTGGTGCCACCAAACTTTTTTCCTACCTAATTTCCTCTCAAGATAACCATTGATGCCAAAATGGATCAAGTGTTTTCTCAAGATGGTTGATGCTGCCTCTTCGTCCTACAACTCACCCATTCAGGATCATCTGGTGTCAAGGAGAACTCCATTACACAGGACTCCGTAATAACAAAGGTTTTCTGACTAAGAAAGATTCCATAAAATACATGCAGTTCACAAAGAGAGCATGACATATGTAGATAAATTAGGTCTCCAATGTAGGCCACCGTTGCTTTCGTTGAACAAAACAGAATTCAGAAGTAGGATTATACAGTACTGCTGACATATCAATATTCCACATAGAAATATAGATGATTTATCCAACTTTCATTAAAGGTTTTAAAGCATAAAACGGATCTGTCAGAACCAACCTTGAAAAATGTGGTTTACACAAAGCATGACTTATAGTCCTCTGCAGCCACTGTTATTATAATTATTCTTGTACAATAGTATATTACATACTGACTAATTTCGAGGTGTACAGCTGTAACCCCCTAATATATGAAGCCACCACTCTGCATGTGTGAATAAATAAATATATAAGCATTAAAGCAGAGTCTACTGTAGGTGATTGCACAGCTGTAACCACCTAATATATGAAGCCACCACTCTGCGTGTGTGAATAAATAAATATATAGGCATTAAAGCAGAGTCTACTGTAGGTGATACTGATGCACGAATGAGCAGAAATACTGCATGGAAAGTAGTTCTGATCACTGTGCATTAATTTATTATTGACTTATTGCAGAAATTGTACATAAGAAAATTCCCTGTGGATAATAAGTTATATGATAATAAGTTATAGGATAATAAGTTATAGGAGAATAGAAAAAAATTATGATTTTTTTTAGTTCATTACACAAACGTGGCTGAGGTTTTTATTCAGGGTGTTTCTCTTCTGAACTTACATTTTCTGCACCGGCTTCTTCCGTTTCTTGACCGCGTACATCGCTGTGCTGGGCAGCATGGTAACAGGGGTGAAACTAGAGGCTTATTCCCTTGAACAAGCCCAATATTTCCTCTGCGAAAGGAAGAATTTCCTTCAACAAAGTTTTGTGTCTCAAAATAAGGCAGAAAATCAAAACAGAGCTCTTCTTCTCCGGCTGCGCCTGAACTGTGAGAAGTAGAAATAGAAGAAAAGTACTTTTGTTTTCTTCAGCTATTCAAAAAGTCCGACACTCCGCAATGATGATCGTTTTTCATGTCCCCAACAATAAAAGTAGTTCCGAGGAAAAAGACCGCCACTGGTCAAGGTTGGACAAAACAAAAGTGGGCTTAAAAAAAACCCCTGGCACCCTTTTTTATGTAAGTGGAGCCCGTGTATGCGCCGCGGTCGCTCTGATTTGACAGCCTCTGCATCTGCGCGTCGTCTGTCTGTTTGTGTCAAAATAACGCGAGACGAAGATATTTAAGGTGGACCAAAAGTGGGCCAAACGAGAATAGGAGCGCATATATAGAGCCTGGTTTCAAACGCGGACGACCTTATAAACTTTTTGTTGTCTACAGTGAATATGACGAAGCAAAATGTACTGAAATCATTAACATAAAGCAATTACCGTATACCTTTATGCTTTATAGTCGTAAATCTATTTGAGTACTTCGTCTTTTTAATTTTATATTTTTTCCTAATTATATGAACCCTATCAAAACGTATATTATACGAATACACCAATATAAACATTTTGTAATAGATTTCATACAAAGATTACAGTCATAACAAATTAATGAATTCAAGTTTAGTTCATAAACGGTACTATTAGTAAGTAATTTGTCTTAAGTAATAAATAATTTTGCTAGCATTACTTACTGCAAATCAATGGCTGTGTTAAATTTTTCATTCAAAATTAAATAGTATTACATTTTTTGTTTTCGTTTTATAGGAAAATTCTACCTATATGCAGAGTATTTTGGTTTTAAAACTAAAATGCAATGACAATAACTCCAAGTATTTAATGTATTTTAATTATTTTTCATTTATTTTATTAATATTTTAGTGCATTTAATTTCATATTTTTTATAAATAATTCAAAAGCTTATATTACAAGTTAAATTGTATGTATTCACTATAATTATTATTGTAAACTGTTATTGTGTCCTAAAATAAAAAATCTTTATTTTTTGTAAGACAAATCTAATGCATATTGCAATCTATTACCAACCACAAAAATATTATTACTAAAAATAATCACATAATTTATGTTAATTTATTTCAGACCATCTGATACTTGTAATTACTTTTTTCAAATTAGTTAGTTTTTCACTAAACAAAAGTAAATTCTTAACTAAAGTAAGTTTTTAAAAATACAAGATGTCGTGGTCATTGTATCCCGATACAATGAAATTTAGTGCAGCTGCACTTGAATTATAGATAAATAAAGATACTATGAAACTACTCTATGAATATAAAAGTATATATATATGCAGTATACACTTTTTACAAAGAGAGAGAGAGACAGACAGAGAGAGAGAGAATAATTAACAAAGCACCTTAAGTTAAGTTGAGTCAAACATGTGAAATATAAAACATCAGTCCATATTTTTTTACTCCCCCCCAAAAATTTCAACCCTCTCCCTGAAAACATAGGACACCCAGCCAAAGGTGTAGCTCAGGTGAAACTATTAGTCCATAGCTATGGTACCACTCCCTGTTCAAACCTCTAACCTTGTGACTTAACATTGCACCCTCCTTAGAATAGGGTGGGTTTCACCACACCTCCATCCCCTCTTTTTGCAACGGCCCTTGTTACAGGTACAGGACCCTCTGAGGCTCAATACCAGAATTTCCCAGTGGTCAGTCAGAACTGAAGAAGCCTCTTGGATGAGAGGTCAAACGTCTTAAAAAAATCCCTACTTTGTCCAGTTGCCCTCAATGTAACTATTGGATTAGTCATCATTAGTCATCATATACATTTCAGCTGCAAAACATTGCACAAATTCAACGCTCCTTGTATTACAAAATGATACATTTCTAACAATAATATTACATTTGAATCAGCTAGAACTGACATGTTAGGTAATATATTTAAAGAAAATATAATCAAGAGATCAAAACTAACAGATATGCTCATGTGTAGTAACTAACTCTCTGTTATCGTCCCACACCTGTCATGTATCCGCCCAACACTTTGAGAAGCACTGTCCTTAAATGACAGGGTTAGATTTAGGTCAGTATCTTTTCAACAACATAACATTTACAACATAAATAGTCCTAGGTGTGTACATATTTATTGAATGTTCCGGACACTTTGTAGTCAGTCACCATGTCCTCCTACGTTCTGTCACACGGACGTCAGAGTGTTTTCCACACTCATGGATTTAGAACGTTCCTGCATTGTTCATTGTACTGTCAGTATAATGTATCGTGGTATTTTTGTGCTTGCTGAGGGACTTGCTCCAACACGCCATGGACCAAATTAAAAAATAAAAATGTGAGGCTCAGAAGTGAGGGGCTTCATTGGTTCTATTGCACTTTTTCTTATAAAAAACATCTGTCAGATATTAAAGGAAGAGGAATTTATTGGTTCTGACTTCTCATCCTCGAACTTCAAACTGTGTAATGTGCCACTGACGTCCAAGATCAGGGTTGTAAATATGAACTGTCACGCTTCAGGGAGCCTTCTGACAGAAAATAGAAACAATGAATGACAGCGAACATGGCTCTCTGAGTCTATGTGAATCTTTATGCTGCTGAAAATCAACTTCAGAGCTTTGTTTTTATCTTCTGAACCAAGAATCTTCATGTCCACAGGCACAACATTTTACAGCTGGACTCTCATGGAGATTCCAACACACTTTCTTCAACTTTTTCTGGGTGGCGTGGACGATTGTGTCGAGAAACGATGAATCATTTATACTCATTTTTAGCCAAGTTTACCTTGACTTTTCCTTTTAAAATCCAAGCCTTTATTTTGAATTCAGGGCTGGCAGAAAAATGTTTGGGTGCAGTTCAGGACATGAACTGGGAGTCACAGTGGTGAAGAGTGCAGTCAGAGTCACAGTGGGTCAGCTCAGGGGAACGTTACAATAAAGAGTGACTTTCTAGTTCTTTCTATATTTTCTAAAATTCTAAAAATATATAATTATTGTCTGTGTTTTAGCCATGTCTTGTTCAAATGTATTTCTTGCAATAATTTTAGCCAATACCAATAGAAACCTCTCCAATTAATTTGGAGAAGTTTCTATTGGTATTTTTGTCCGAAATACCTTTAGACCTCCTAACTAATTTTGACTGTTTTGCTCATTTTTAGTTGTAGCTTGCAGCTGGTTTTTGAATTTTTTTGGCTTTGGCTTTTACTCACAGCTAAAACTCTGTACAAAAATGCCAGTGAATGTGTTTCATTTCTACTCATATCATATAATGTATACCTTTATTTTCCAGTTCCAGGATGATCACCTTGAAGCACACCCATGTTGCCATGGCAGCATGCTTAAAAGAACACATAACAGTCAACATAACATCAACCAAATATGAAATACGGCACATCTTAAAAAGCATTGAAAATGTGCCCAGTTCTAATGAAGTCAGCTGTTATCATTCATCTTTTATGAGCCACGACGTTCTTCTCTTTCTAAAGTTCTGCCTTGTTTTTGTTTAACATTAGGACAAAACATGTTTAACATTAGGACAAAAAGAGATTTGTGTGAGTGCATAATTTCAACGCACTAATGAACCGAAGTTTCACTCCTGATTGAAACATCAACTGTACGATTTATGGTGTGTAATTTGAAATAAATTATTGAAGAAAATACTTTCATCTGGTTGTAGACATCTGACAGACGATTATAAATCTATACTTGTCTTGTGTATTCTTTGATCTGAACCTCCTGCAGCTTATTTGGCGTCAGCTACTTAACAAGTAAACTGTTCAATGACGCCTGGAGCTGTTGTGCCTCAGCATTAGAATTAAATATGACTCAATGGCACCAATTTTTTTGTCAGCACCAAAACAGACTAGAGAACTGCAGTAACTTTCTCCTGTGCCACAACAGGATACTGAAGTATTTGATTAGCAAGTCCAAATATCTTAAGTTAGTGAGAAGAAGAAGAAGAAGAAGCCAAAAGAAGAAATTAAAAGAAGAAAAATTATTGTTAGCAAAAATGGCTAACGTTAGCCAAAAATAAATCTCAAGTTTGTTAGACAGCAAGACGGATACATTTTCCTGGATTATCAGACCTGGACACGTCTGCCGCAGCAGTGTTTCGACAGTGAGTCGATTTCTTTTGTTATTTGGCATTAGTTAGTCAGAGAAAAACTTGGAGGTAGGTCCAAAAGCTGTTGTACGTCATTGTTTGCGAATAAGTTTATACATTTGGCAGCACCAAAACTGGCTGGAGAGCTGCAGTAACTTTCCACTGTGCCACCACAGGCTGCTGGAGCATTTCATCACAACATCCAGGGGTGGACTTTACCCAGCAGCAAACAGGCTGTAAAACTCTCTTGACGTTGACCAAGAGACAGCAGAAGGTTCGCTTCATTTGAGTCAAATCAGCCAATATTTGCTTTGACTGAGTGAAAAAGACAGCAAAATATTAAACAATAAACTATATTTCAGAAGGAGAACGATAAGGACAGATTCAAGTCAACTAAATAGCTTTTTTGTGCAAATATCTAAAGATTAGCCAATAAGCCAGCTTTTGTACTTAACTCGTATGTTAAGTGGAAAGTTTGAGCCACATTCATGAGAGTAAAGTACAAACAAGACCAAATCAATTTGTTTTGGTTCAGAGGATGCTGAACGTTGTTGCCGTGTTCATAACGGTGCCCACTCACTCACTGTTTTCTATTATTTCTCAGGACTGGACAAACCTTTCAAACGGAGACAGATCTGGACTGCAAGCAGGCCAGTGAATTCATTTGACGATGGCAGGTGAGAGTTGTTTGGCATTGTTTAAGATGTTTTTTTATCCAGACATTTCACAGTTCAATTTGTTGCCATTGGCCCAAAACAGAAAAATCAATTCAACATCCTGTCCCAAGGTCAACATAAAAGATCAAATTTCTTGGTCCCTTCTTCGGACGTTCTCGGTTGAGAAAGATTCTAACACATGCCTCTGCATCTGCTCCTTCTGGCAGACAGCTGCAAATCAGGAACTGGCACCGCGAGTGCAGACAAAGATCAGGGTGAACCTTTTTAGACATCTGCAATTAACATCAGGGCAGCGACAGATGCAGGAATAAAGGATGTAGATCAAGATATGATTAGAGGTCATGGACTTTTCAAATTACAGACCGTCTCCGAGTCGTGTTTTTATCATGTCAGGACAGTCTGGAAGGTCTCGTACTGGCAGCGTATCCTCCGTCTTCCCTAGGATGATGTGGTAAAGCCACGCAGCCTGGCTGCAGGCCTGGTTAACAGCGGTGTCCTGGATAGGCTGGTTCTGTTAAATGGGTGTCAGATGTTGGAGGGTTTAGCAGCGAAGCAGGGCTTTGGAGGCCCTGAGGCTGGTTTGTCTAAAACTGAACGAGAGAGTTTTCAATAACAAATATTTAAAATTGTATTTAAATGTGTTCTAGGTCCACTTTCCTCTTCATGTTCCAGGAATTGATATCAAATGATATGAACTATCTACGTTCAGATAACTCTATTTTGATGGAATTTTAATTATGATAATGCATTTCTTAAGGCATTTCAAGTTTTAAAAATGGCCAAAAGTATTCTGATCTTTTCTGTGGATACATTTTATCCATCTACTATGTGACATTTAGCTACTCCTCAAAAACAAACAAAAACCACTGAGTAATCTTAAGGCTCGTTTGTTGCCACTTGTGAAATCATCTGATTTATGTTGCTATTACCTCAAGTGTTCGTGTTCGTCATCTTTAGAAAGTGCTTCTGTTTAGGTTCTGTTTAACTGACTTTCAGCTGGGTCTTTGTCCTTGATATTTTGGGTAACTACTTATTTGGCAGTATTTGTTTATTTCAACTGTCTATTATTTCACAGGTTTTACTGAAAATGATCTGTAGCTTGGAAGAATGACTGTGATTGTGGCTCATTTTTAAGTATTTTGGCTACATTTCTAGCAATCTTTGGTAAATCTAAGTTCTGAGCCTTCTTTTATTATTGCTATTAATAATGATGTTGTTATGAAATGTTGCTTTTACCACACAGGATTTAAGTGTTTGTTTATTTTTTGGATAGTCTACAGTAGGTAATTCTAACTAACTAACTACTTCACCAATAAGTCTTTGATAACTATATATATTATATTATTATATGTATTGTAAAGTGTGTTATCTGGACAAATGTATATCTATATATTTATGACGTACATGTTTTATATAATATTATATAATAAGACGCTCAGTTTTAATCCCTGGGGATTTTTCCTGAGATCAGTTGTTCATTGTCTTGTTTTTAAGGTCCAGACCTTTAAAATGTCACAGGATGTTTAGTACAACTCCCATACTGTCACACAACTGGAGAAAAAAGAAAAAAATAACATTTCCTTGTGCCAGAGGAGTCTGAGTCTTTCTGCACTTGGGTGTCAGGTAACTGTCAGCAAATGAGTCACAGTGAGCGCTGAGGGATTTGGTTTTCATAACTTTATACAGAGCAGTCATTGTTTACGAGCAGGGGTGTCCAGAAATGGGGGAGGGAGGGGAGAAGGTCAGATGATACTCCTGCTGTTATATGATCAGCTGTGATATATGACAATTGGGTATTTTGTGTACTAGGTTATATATTTATATTCAGGTTTTGGGCAGATTTCTAAAAAACTTTTTTTCTTTTTTTTCATTTACAGTGGTTTCACTGAGAGCTGTTAAATACAGTAGTCACACATGTGGAAATAAAAACATGATCCCACTGGTAAATAATAATTTCTACCTAATCTACTTAGAAAAAGATGCAGCTACAACAGTGCTAAAGCATGGAATGTCAGAGACCATTTAGTGCAAAGAGAATTGTGACAAAATAAAAGGATTTTGTCAGAAATCAACAGCCAATAAATAACAGAAAGAAAAGAAAGTCAGTCTCAGCCTGGACGTGAAATGGAACCAAAAAGACTGAAAATGAATGAATTAAATAGATCCATCTGTGTAAAGTTACCTAACTGTTAGTCACACGCTACGTCGAAGTTTCCTAGAAAACAATCAGAAGAAGTAAATCCAGCGAGAGCCAAATATGAAGCGCTATTTGCCAAAATAGTCAGTTAAAAATTCACTTAAAGTAAATATCAGCAGAGTTGACAGTTCTTAGATGAATGAATACATGTTTTGGATTAGTATAAGTCAAATTTTCCAATGACGCTGCTAATAAAAATGTGCCAGGAACTAACCTGAAGGTGTAGCACAGGAGTAATCCCCCAGAATATCAACAAGAGAAACATGAGAAGGCCGTGGTCGTGTGTTCGACAGCAGGGATGTCGTCTCCTTGACCGTCTTTTCTCTTTTTTTTAATTTACTAAAAACAACAGACCTAAGGCAACCAGGTGTGTCATCAACAGTGAACAAAAGCTAAGACAAAAGCATTTAAAGTTACATAACAACAAAGTATTTTTCAGACATTGGACAGCTGGCAAACATGGCCTAAAAGTCTCGTTTCTCACCCGTGGAGTTAAAGGAGGACAAATGGCACCGATAAGGGTTGATTTGTTTTTCGGGGGTCAGTGAACAGAAGAAGGCCAAACCAGCACAGGTTTCTCATAATCAGTAGGCAAAAGGTCATTTAGTGGGAAACGCGGCAGCAGGAACACTATCAGTATCGACTGCCAACAAAGTGCTAAGGTGAGAACGTGTCTTTACTGACTGGTCATTATCCAAAGGTCAGAACAAATGTATCTGAAAACAAATAGCACAAAATAAAACCACAAATTAATTCACTCAAACACAAGTCACAAGAAAAAAAAAATCTTAATTTAGTGTTGGAAAATATTCCAACACAGTTATTCACTTTTTGTAATATTGTTATATTTCGGTATATGCAATGACAACAAAGATATTTCCCACAATTATACAGCAAAATGTTCTTTCTTTCTTTCTTTCTTTTTTCTTTTTTTGTTTTTGTTTTTTAGCAAACCTTTAGCTATCCCTAGTTTATTAACTTGCTATCCTAAAGTCTGGTATGTTTTGTTAGGCTGAACCTGTAGCTGCAAATTTTTATTAATTTGCCCTGCGTCAATGGTGCTTTGGCCCAGAGCCAATGTCTCTGTCATTGGTGTGGAACCCCAGGGTTCGAATCCCAGTTAGGGCGGTTGGTACCTTCCAGTGGACTCACCAGGAAGGTTCAGGGGGGCTGGTACGGTGCAGTGTGATCTGGGTGGTGGTCATGGAGACTGCTGCACCCCCCACCACGACCTGGTAACGGATAAGCAGCTGAAAATGGATGGATGGATGGATGGATGAATGGATGGATGGATGGATGGTTGCCCTGAGCTGTGAACTGCACAGGAAGGAGTTAAATGTCATTTCCTTCCTTTTCTACCAAAGGACATTTTGTGTCAAAGATAAAGACGTGTTTTGTGCGTCTCTGCTACAGTCAGTCTCAGTCACTTCCCTCTCATGACAGCGTCCAGACCTCTGACCTCTGACCTCACAGCCTCTTCACCCTGTACTTTAACCCTGAATCTGTTGCAGTTTAAATACTACACTCTCACAGCTGCTCATCCGCCTTGGTCCAATACTACAGTACAGTGTGTGTTTTTGATCGTTGTGAGATGCAAATGACATGAAGAGGTTATCCAAATCTGTCGGACTGACATCTCTTTGAAGTTCAAAGGCGCAGGTTGTGCAGTATTTAGGAATTAAAATGGAAATGTTTTTGCTATTTCTGTCAATCATTCAAATTCCTTGTTGGTTCAGCCTTATTCCTAGAGCTTCCTTCAGCTGACAGTAGCAACATGGTGTAGTCCTTTTATTTATTTGTTACATTAATCTAATTGTACAGTTTTTGATTTTTTTTTCATTGTATTTTAGGACAAATATCAAAAGGGACAGTAAACGTTTGTTCAATTTTGGAACATTGAAAAGCTGATGTGTTCTTATCTTTGTTTGTTTCTCATTCAGTTAGCCATGAAACTGCATTCTTGAATGTCACAAAAACTAAATTTCTTGGAAAATCCCTTACTGTTAGAAAAAAGGAAACTAAATGTGTCAGGTCCAACTGAATGTTACATTAGATCTAAACATGGTAATAAATATGTAAAAATAGATTAAAAGCTCTAAATATGAGCTAAACACGATACATGCTAATTCTAAAAGGAAAAAATAAATAGTAATGTTTAATTTAGCCATTTTAAAAATAATTCCTGTAGTTGGAGTTCAGCTAAACGGCATAAGATTCATCTACAAATTTATAACGACAGGTTAGCTAAATTGCATTAGCTTGTCTAAAATTGGTCAAAATGTAGTTGTTAACAGTTTGTTGATTTACTAATAGAATAAATCCAAGCTGTCCAGCATATAGCAGAATCTGTCTGAAGGAGAGACGGTCAACACTTGGACGGTTGATTTTACAGCGGCACAGGATGAGACAATTCCACTGTGGAGGGAAAAGTGACGAGCTGGTGAATCCTCTGCCTCCTGATTCCTGATCTGAGCCAGGGACGTGGTCGCCCGCGGGCCGAGAAGCGTCACCAAAACCTGTCATCAGTCTTCACCTCCGGCAGGTTTAAAAGTAATAAGAACAAGGAGCAACAATTAGAGGGAGAACCGTCGTTCCCCACAGCTGTGGACAAGCTGTAAACCCTCAACTGAAAGGCAATAAACTGCAACAGGGTCCCGAGCTAACTGTTCATGTTCTCATCATTGTGTTGTCCCCTGGTTTATAGTTAACACTTGTTAAACTTTACAAGCAGCCATCTTCAATACTTGCTGCTAATTTGAACTTTATTGTGTTCACATACACAATGACAATTATTCTCTCTTTTCTCCGACTTTATTAAGTCAACTAAGGAAAAGCAAACAGACACAGCTGGTTCTGGGGACATGAAAATAAAAACGTGTCAGTAAATGTTAAGAGGCTGTTTGAAAACTTTGTTTAAAAAAATGTTTTATTTGTGTCCTGCTTGGGAATGGACCAGAAACAGAAGAAGCTGGAAAACAATAAAAGCCAAGTTGAGTTCAAATAACATTTAAAGCCCACTTCGCTCAGGGAGGAGCCCACAATATTTTCCACCTGAGCCACAGAAGTAATGAATTCAAATCTTCACTGACCTGTTTGGCCAAAGCATGACACAGGTTTGGATACGTCAGTAGATGTAGGTCACATAAGGTCACTATGTCATTAAGATAGTGGACCAAGTGAGTCAGACTACATCACTTTAATGTAGGCCCCAATAATAGACCAGACAAACTGCAGTGGTCCAACATGAGCTGTACATGCTGTTGACAAATTATAGCCCACACAAAATTGGTCAAGTACAACATGGGGTAATTGGAAAGTGTTTCACACCCACACTGCCAAAGTGGACCAAACCAAAATTTAAACAACATACATTTCCACATGTGTCTACACGTGGGTTGTGGGTTTTTTAACGAAGGATTCCAGAGGAGAAGCAAATAGTAAGATACTCATCTGGTCTGCTAGTTTCTGTGGTCCAGTACAGGTCCAACCAGGAGGCATCTGTGGTCTGAGTTTGACCAACATTTGGTCCAGATTCTCTGAACACCACTGTGGTCACCAAACGAAAGAAGATGAATGGCCAAATAGTGGATCAGATCAGACCAGACCAGGGGTCCACAACCCCAGGTCCATAGGTCATTTGTTACCAGGCCACAGTGGGACACAATGAAAAATGTATTCTTTATTTTTACTAATTTACTTCATTCACATCCATTTACTGTCCTCATTCAAAGATTGTGAAAGTTTAAGTTTTGTTTCACCTGTTCAGAGTTTAGGCTCAGGTTTCCTGTAAACCTTTTATTCAGTTTCTACTTCAGCTGGAACTAAACACGACCTCTGGGTTTGTTTTTGCGCTGCTAGTTGAGATGTATCACAATAGAAGTGATGTACCGCCACAATCTTCTACTCTGTGGGTTTTCTTTGGCGATGTTAGGAGTGGGAGCATTTTTCTGCAATGCTGTCAGGGGCAACAACAGATGCCAAGTAGAGAGATAAAATAAATAAATGGATCTGCCTCCTCCAGCCCAGACTCTCCTGCTGCTCCAGAGATGATTAACAATAATAATCTGTTAAAGCAGAACGCTCTCTGAGGAATGAGTCAGTCGAAGTGCACGCTGTGTGTCAGGCTATCGTTTAGACCACACATGCACAGAGAGAAGGGAAAGACAGCTGCGATAAACTGTCAGTGCCCGAAGTATACAAAAGCAGAGCGCGTGCTTTTGTTTAGTTGGTATTTGGTGTCTGACGTTAATAGACTCCGTGAGCTGTGAGAGTTTGAAGGCTCTACATCACTGTTTTATATCATTTGAATCTGATTCCAAAATGTGTAAATGACTGTTCATCATTTGAATCTGATTCCAAAATGTGTTCCACGAGAGATTTTGAAAAGAAGATGGTTTGTGAGTACACAACGGATACAAGAAGTGCCAATCATCACAGAGATGGTAGCCACTTGGCTACTGACGTTATGCTAAAAAACAAAAGAGTCCAGAATACATGGACACAAACGGTCTCCGTGCTGGTCCTGCTGCCACCAAACTGATGCCCGTAAGGAACTGACACATTTAAACGTAGTGACCACAAACAGTCGACCACAGGGCTAAATACAGCTTGCCAGCCACAAATAGCTTTACTGTGGAGCAATTTACGTACTACTTATTCAACCACAAATAAAACAACTAACATCTACATTTCAACCATCAATGAATTCCTGCAACAGAAGAGCAGCTTTTATGCTGACTAGATATTATTTTGACATCAAGGTTAGATCTTTTATTTTGACATTCAAGCTAGAGCTTTTATATGACTTTGGCTTTGACTTTGGCTAGGCTAAGCTAGTGTTGCTAACACCCCAGGCCTCTCTTCTTCATATTTGGTTGCTGAGAGATTAACATTCATTTGAGTTGCATCACTGGGTCTACTGACTGCCAATGCATATTTAAATCATATTCATTATAAATAATAGAGTGACCACATTGTGTATTATGCTCTGGGACACATTAGTGATGGGACTTATCTGATTGGACTCTCAGGGTAAGAGATCCTGTGTGCTGTGTCATTACAAGACCACTGATACTGTTGCTGATATCTGGAACTTGTTCGGTGATTGTTGCTTCTGTCCTAACAGTGTAATGGAGACAAAAAAAAATCAACATCTTTTCAAATACCTCATGTACGATCTGCACAAGGAGGTTTCAACCTCAAACATTTGCAATTTTGACTAGCAATAAAAAAGTGAAGCAATTAGCGAAGATTTATGAAGCCAGTCTTTGATCACTCCCTGCTCATGTAGGGATTTCCAACCCAGCCGTGCACCCAAATATTTCTTTGCCTTTCATTAAGAAATGGAAAGGGAGTTGTCTGAACACAGGAAACTCAACATAGCCCATATCTGGGGATTACATTTCGTGCCACTTTGATCATACCAACTGAAACGTGTTGAACATGTCCAAACCAATACAGAGCCTTTTTGCCTAATTATTTGCCAACCTTGAAAAATACCTGGGTAAAAAAACTTTCTATTTATGCTGTTGAGAGACTTCTATTGTGACACTAGTGTAAAAGCTGAAGGATTTTTATTGTTAAGTTACGTCTTGTGTCTTGGTGTTAGTTTCCAGCTCATCTTTAGAGTTAACCTCCAGAGGTCACTAGTGTCCTGTGTGGTTACAGATTAACCTCTGACACTTCAGATAATAATTCAACCTGAGAGAATGAGCTCACGTCAGCTCCACAGAAGTGTACCAGCTTAATTCCTTCGACACGTAGCATGCACGCACATATCTGCCTATTAGTGTTGGTGTTAGCCAAGCTCAGAGTCTCTGAGGCTTTGTCTGCAGCCCAGATATGCTGGAGCCTCCCTGACGCTACACACAAAAAAAGAGGCTGAGACACGTATCGTGGACGCTTCAATGAAACTATGGGCAGGGACACAAATGCAGCCCGTGCTTTGTGCAGTCATCGTGTGCCTCTGGATGGTCATTTCATACTTCTCTGAGGTTGTTTGCCATCTCTTTTGTGGTTGCTTTCAATCTCCCTGTAGTCATTTCCTGACTCTTTGTAGTTATTTTACATCTCTCAGTGGTTGCTGTGAGGTCATTTTTGGTTTTCTTGTATCTTGGGCCTTTTGGTCTGTTACCTGATTGGCACACAAGGATATGTTGGATCTCTGGTCATATGAATAAAGCCAATAAGGACATGCACCTCTGATCATACCACTGATCTATTCTACATTTGATGTCTAGATCAAACATCTCCAGCCTACATTTGTCTCATCATCCTGGCTCAGTGATTCACCAAGAGACGCTTCTATCTACTGCAATGTGCAGACAGAATATGCGCTGACCCACGGGCTGGACTCCTGCTTCTTCAGATGAATGATTGACATTTTTAAGCTCAACAAATGCCACAGTCATTTTCTTTCATTTCCAGAGAGGAGCAGTCTGTGGTTGTAATCTGGCCAACTCTTGGTAGCTGACGACAAGAAACTGTGGTCGTCCTGACAACAATGCAGCTGATGATGATAATAAATCACAGCTATTTTTTTTTCTTCTTTTTTTGTTAAATGTGTTGCAAAACTTCCCTTGATAAATACAAGTTGTGAAAAAAACAATCCTCAACACCAACCTGGAAAGTTGAAATTTGTTTTCAACTATTTATTTGGAGGAGCTTTGAGCCTATCATCCTGCTATGTGACTAACCGAGCATGCTGGGAAGTGTTTTCGTCAGTGGCTGCCCTTTCCAAACCCCCAAGTTTTGATGAGTCATTCCTGGCCAACACCAAAATGTCTGGAAAATAAAACAGGATTTTGTTTTTAAGCTGTGCAGCCCACAAGGCATTAAAAAGGGGTTTAATTCTCTCCATATCCAACCAAAAAATTCCAATATTTAATTTGGTCTCATCTCTTCTCCTCGGCCCTTTGTTAAAGATGGATTTTTTTTTTTTTTTTTACTAAACGTCCTTCCACAGACGATAGAATTTTACGATTCCACAGCAAAGTACAGCAGAGAAATTCTCAGGGTTTTCGTAGACAGTGGACAGTGTTCCAAAAGAAGTTGGTGAGGACTTAAAAGTGGAGCTGATCATCATCATCATCATCAATCAGGCCTGGATGAAGGATTCTGCAGGGCAATCATTCACTTTAATTTAATCAAGACTAGGCTTTTGGTAAACATTGCACCATAAATATTTTTGGAATAAGACCAACACAGAAGATTGACTGGTTGCAAAACACAGCTGAAAGATTTTCCATTTCCACACTGACACAGTGATGACAACAGCCAGTTGTCAACAGAGATCACCCACTACGAGGGTCACCACTGTCCTGACTGTCACACCCACCATCTCCACGTCCTCCTGCTCAGCACACTCATCCATGACTTTATCTGCCAACCTGTCCCTCAGCACTGCACACTGGAAGAGACTCCACGCCTGTTCTAAACCCATCAGTCACTCGGACTGCGGCATCACCACCTGTATACACATTTCTACTTTTGATGGAAGTATTGATTCTATGGTATCGATATATATATATATATATATATATATAAATATCAATCCAAGTATCAATTAAGTATTGATTACGCTCATTAAGTATCGATACTAATTAATAAATGAAAAACGTGTCACTTTTACATCTTTTAGGGTAACATGGTCTATATACGGGTGGTATTTACATTTTGATACAAATTTTCAGTATAAAACTTAAAAATCCATTGGGGCAAAATATTTTTTTGGAATTTCTAAACAAACTTTACCTAAATTACTGTTCATTAATATACTGATAACTAAGCTACAGCCCACCTCTATATACAGGTCACTGTACAGTCACACAATGATTGATTATTGACTTTGTATACAGAGTGCAGAGTGAGTGAGTTAACCTTTTTTTCAAACTAAGTGATTACTGAGTCTGAAGGAGGAAACGTACTGTGAAATGTCACAGCACACAGCGCTGCCTGTTGACGACCCTCGGCAGCTCACCCTCCGTCTGGAGAATGATAAAGTCTAATATTCTAAGTATTAACTTGGCGAGAGAAGACTAATACACTGTGTGTGTGATAATGTAAAAGATAATCAGAGTAAAAATGAATTTAAACAAAACCCAAGATATTATTGGTTATATAGCGGCCTATTCTGGACCACAGTCCGGCCAATCACAGGTTTAACGCAACAATAACCAACTATTTGCAAAACAAATACAGTACTGCCAACGACTGGAACCAAACCTCACTGTCATTTTGAACTAATGATCAAACCTTGACATTTGGAGCAAGTGGGATTTTACAGTGTAACGACACTGACTTATTGCTCTCATCTTTCCTGGAGCCATTTTTTTATATTTACTTCATAGAATCAGGGAAACCGCTGAACATTTCCGTGCGTGACAAGCTTTTGTAGTGAGGAAAAAAAAATATCGGATGCAGGAAATTAGGAGACCCCTACACTCACACCGGAGTTGTCTCCTGACACGCTAGATTGAACAAATTGCAGATTAAAAATTAATAGGTATTGTCATTCCAGTGATTACGTTGAGAGACCGCTGGGTAGGAAACTGAAATCTGCCAAGTCTTTATTTCTCTGGAAAAGACAAATGGTCCAGCTCCTTGGGGACATCCTCAGCGCAGCGTCTCACTTTCATGTCTCTCCTGAAAAACACAAGCTCTGCTCACTTTTTCCATGGCCGCTGTTGTTGTTGGGAAATCGTTAATTCAGCTCAGGGCTCAAATTGATTTGACAAACGACGCAAAAATGTGAGTCAGACCAAAGTTTTCCTCTGAGCTTTTCTTCCTTTATGTCCTCACCTGCTCTGTTTCCAGCGCTACACACGCACACTCGTAAAATTCAAGTTAATTAAGCATCACTTTATTTAGTTCAAAGCTGCCCTCTGAACCGTCTGCATGAGTCAGAGCTGTGTTTGAGGTGCAACAAACATTCGCGTTTCAGCAGCTCCTCCGAGTAAAACCTGAGGTGGAAAAAAACAAATCGGCCAAAGTAAATGATTTCAAAAACTCTGCCCGTTGTCCTGTCAAAAAAATGGCGATAAAAGACGGCATTTTGAGATGCTGACACAGTGAGGTGGTTCAGGAGGTCAAAGGTGAGCAGAGAGGCAGCTGAGAGTCACTCACAGTTTCATCCTAACTGCAAACAAATAGTATTTATCCACTTCATGTTTACACCAGTGGAACAAAACACAAAACACAGAGTAATGATCGACATTTCAATGAATTCAAATGTCAGTCTTACAGCTGCAGGCATTTATCACTGCTGGTTTGTTTGTTTTTTTCTTTAAAGCTAAAATAAGTCAAGAGGGGAAAAAAAGACTTCAAGACCTAATGTATTTACAAACGTAATATAAAACAAGGGTGATGTGAATGGTCCATGTGAACCATGTGACCTACGGGATAGTTATGACCGAGGGCATGACTTAAACAGAAGCTGTTTTTTTTTACTGCTCCAGCATCACATTTGCATTTACCTGTGTAATGACTCTGATGCTAATCCCACTGACAGAGAGAAAGAGAGAGAGAGAAAGTGAAAGAGAGAGAGAGTGGTGAGAGAAACTGGCATCTGTTCCATCCATTTGGCTGAGGAGTCGAAGACACACACACACACACACACACACACACACACACACAGTGAAGCAAACTGCCAAAAAAAAGGGCAATAAAGTGGGAACACGCACATCATCAAGCCTTTTTATTTTTAACCTACTAAAATATCCTGTTCTTAAATGAGAGGTTTGAATAAACAGACATAAATATATGTTAGCAATGATTAATATGACGTTGTTAGCTTGTTCTGTTTTGTTTTGCTATGTTGACTTTCCAAGCAATCTGAGATATAATTTTCCTGTAGTGTAACAATTTGTTGTTACATTTTGGTAGTTTTTTTTCTAATAGAATTAAACTAAATTTAATTATAGGTTGCTATATATGGCTATCTTGAAGCTATTTCCCTGCTTTTCAAGGAAAATAGAGGGCTAATCCAGCTAACGGGATTTTATAGATATATATACAGTATATATATATATATCTATAAATAAACCTGTTAGCTGCAATAGAGTATATATTACATATTATACACATTAGATGCAGCCTAACATAGTTACCATTGACTGATAAATCAATATCATGAATTGCTGTACACTATGTGAGCATGTAACTGAATTCTTGTCTCCTGTAACTGGTCCACATGCAGCAATGACTTGAGTCTTTAGTAACCCACACCTGGTATTTAGTAGTCAAAACCTAAAAAGCAAAAACTACTGTAAGCAACAACCGACCTCTACTATATCGTGATGTTGTTCAAGACCATAAAAGTTCTGTACTGGAGTTAGCGTTAGCTGAGATGTGGTCCACAATTTGGTTCCATGGACCGCCAGTGTGGAACGCTAAGACCCTGTGAGTCATCGTCACAGGAGGGTCAACTGACCAATCCTATAAAACCGACTGTTCTAGGACTTAATAGTCACAGTCTACTTCATTTGGCCCCACATCACTGTGTTATGCTACACAGGTTGAAGTTCTCCATACATTTGGCACACATTTTTAAAGAAGACACGGGCCAGGAAAGAAACGTACTTCATTTCTATTGGATGGATTAATTGGTGTTATTTTATTTGTTTTCATCACCAGACTAAGAACGTGGAGAAATAGGACTTTTTTAATGCACTGTTTTGGGCTTGTTGTTTTGGTTATCTTTTTAAAATCCATGCTATAAAGCCATCATCTTTGTTTGCTCTATAATCCACTTACCAGTGTTCTTTCAACTTTCTAAAAACTTTGATAATTGTCTTTCCTTCAAAACAGAACAAGCAACAATCTGTTGCAGATTTGTCCACTTCTCAACCTAAACTCAATAAAAATAGGAGATTTCTGGTCTTTGTTCTGTCAGACGTAGAGCCCTAGTCAGATGTGACAGTTATCCTGGAACAGTTTTTCCATCTTTGTTTTCCCTCTTCTGTCGTTGCTCCGCTTCACTTCCTCCATCCTGGTTTCCTTCACCTCCTCACAATTACCAGACGCCCACCATGACTCAGGACTAAAAATCAAACCCAGACAGTTTGGCAGAAGGCACACGTCCTCTCTGACTCCCTCTGACCCCCAGATCAACACAAAGTAAAACAGTTCCCTGAACAACAACTGCAGCCCTAAAAGTGTTGTCAGCACACACGCGCGCACACATACACGCACCTGATGTCTGCAAAGGAAGAATTGCTCATCCCAACTCAGGAAAAACACCCATGACTGGATGAAAGGCGCCGATCTGACACTCCGACATCACTGATCAAACTCATTAACAGCACTTTCCCAGTTCCACTTTCATCAGCAGTACACAAAGCGAGTAATTTTCCTAGAAATCAGCACACATTGGTTTTAGTCACATCTACAAGTTTTTTGGCTAGACTTTTTTTTTTGCTATATTTTGTCAAAATGTAAGTGGTTTATAGGGGAGCCTTTAATTATCTTTGGTAATTATAAATATTTAGGATTTAACTAATTTTAGTCTTAGCTCATTCTTACGATTTTCTAGACTATTTTAATTGTCTTTCAGTTACTTTCTGGCTAACTTTTAGACTGGCTAGATTACCATTACTTCTGGTAAAGCTATAACAGCTTACTTTAACCTTTGCTGATGTGTATTTTGTATCTTTTTCTGTATTGATCCTACAGTAGTTCTTACACAACTTTTCCGTAGTGTTTTACACAGGGTTTGTTGCTATAGGAGCCCGTTTGTTTTCAGATCTTCTTACCAGCAGCTGCTGCTGTACTTGGTATAATCCCATTATATTGCTCTCCAGCCCTGGTTGCCCTCATGTTGACATGTTGTTATTGCCACCAGATTCTGTGACTTCACTGACTCAACTCTTTGTTCTTTGTTTCCTTTAGAAAAATATTTTTCTCTAGTCAGGATCAGCTTTTCTTCTCATCTGATCGACATCTGTAAGTTGTTTTTCTCCCTCTCTCGTCTGTTTTGCTCTGTCAGTCTTTCCTCGTGTGACACATCACTGCCGTCTTGTCTCTTTAAGTTGTGAGGAATGCTCACTGTGAGGACAGAAATAGCAAACAAAGATATAAAGCCAAATAGTAACCTAAAAACACGGTTAAGTAGTTACCTGGGACTTTAAACCAAGGGTTATTATTACAAGTCAGCCTGGAATCACACCAGAATAATATCTTAACTCATGTACTCACTTTTTGAAATATAAACATTCAGTCATTTCTTAAATACCTATTAACTATTTTTTGCTATATTTATGAGATAACTGTTACTTTTCAGTCCATTTTCTAAACTTCTTTGAGAATGTTCTAGGTACAAATACCTAAACCTTTCTTCAATGATTTGGCTTACATTTAGCCCTTCATGAACAAAGATTTAGCTTTATAGATTCAAACTTTATAGGTTATAGTTAGCCTTTAAGTTTAGTAGTCTATTATTACTCTACAGTAATTTATCACTATGGTTTGAGATACACATGTAGTCAGATGTACAAACACCACCCCGAAGATACCACGAAAACAGATGAATACACCTGTGTCCCGACTGCGGTTACCTTCACAACCCGCGGCGTGTTTTAGCAGTGATGCTGCTTCTGTTTTACCTTACAACTTTTTAATTAAAGTATTTATGTCAATGACAACGTAGATAATGCACACTTAAACAGACGCTTCCACATGTGCATTTTTATATATATATATTTTTATTATTATTTCATGCCAGAGATTACAGAGACAGAGACATCATTAAATGTGACCAAACGCACCGGCTCATCTGGTCAACCCACACGGACACGCATCATTACTAACGCAAGGTAGTGTCCATGGAGCTAACAAACCTCGTTAGCTCCATGGACACAGACACACATTAACTCTGCAAACTCACAGTCATACATTTGATATAATTTAGAATATACGAACAAGTGCGCTACAAACACTTCTGTTTCCATATAGTTTTATATAGTTACGCTTACCTGACAACGTAAAGACAGAGACATTATCTGGTCAACTGCCAACTTTACCAAGAAGACCCTAAAGGTGCCCCGTAAACTGCCTGTCCACATGTGTCATAATCTCTGCGGGCAGAAGAACTATAACCCTGGTGTTGTACATCACCAAATGTCAGGTGAATGAATATATGAACACATAAAATAAAACAAATTAAACAAATAAAAATACGTGTATATATGTATTTTATACTCACTTATATATTCCATTTAAACCATAACAACCCGATGAGCCGCATGTAGGTAAAATAATGACAACATAATGTCCAAAACCCCAAAGCTGTCATGCTTATTTTGAGCCACTAGATGGACATATGAACACGCGAAAACGGAGTCGATGCGTTTTACTCTTTAAAAAGGTTAACATCCCAATGAAGATCATCGGGGAGTCAGAATGTAATCAACTGTCTGCACAAAGATTATTTTTAAAGGTGAGTGATAACAAAGTGAGAGTCCCAGTGGCAGCATGGGAAATGTACCAATAAAACTGAATCCATTTTCTCTCTTTTTAAAAGTAAATGAAGAAAGAGTTCATTTTGAACTTAAATCTAGTTTGTCTAATTAAAGTGTTACAAGAGTACTAAAATAATAATTATTTTTGTTCTTCAAACAGTTACACAACTTAACAGTAATCATGAGTAAGTAAGAAAAGCATAAAGTCATACAGTGTAGAAAATAACCATGAGCTCCATAATGATCAGCTAATGATGGAAAACTTTACTGTGTGGCAAACACATGGCATAGACTGCAGGTCAGCCATCATTTTAATGTGGTATTTAGCTAAAGGTTAAAAAAACAAATATAAAAACAACACAAAACAAACAAAAACAACAAATAAAAGGTTTAGCCAATCACGAGTAGTAATCAGGAAGAGGAAACCCTTTCTTCTTCTATATAATATGTGTTTTTAAGTAAATTACAATCAATCAATGTCCACAGAAAGTGTGAAAATGTACAAAATCGTAATCAGCAAAGGTTTTTGGTAAAAATATTGAATTTGACATTAAATCAACACTAGACAAAAACTGCTGTAATTATATGATAAATAAAACAACATAGAAAACGAATTCAAAGAATAACCAATAACTATGATACCACAATCCAGTCCTTTTTTGACTGGCCCTGTTTAAATGCTTTACAGGAGATTTGCGTTGTCTTTCTACCACTAGGTGACGCCAAAGTGCAATTTTTGGGAGTGCAGCTTTTTTAGGGGTCTGGCCAAAGGAAAAGAAGAAAAAAAACAAGTTGTGACTGTGCAAACCCATACTTTGTCTTTCACTCCTGATTCCATTTATCCACGTCACTCATCTTCTTTCTCGAACAGACGCTGCTTGGTTGTCATCACCATGTCATCATCACCGTCGTCGTCATCGACATCACCGTCCATCTCGTTGGTTGTATACGAGCCTTTGCGTCTGCACATCAACCACAGAAGTAATGCTGCTAAACAAGCCAGCAGCAGCACTGCTAACACCACTCCTGCAGAGAGAGAGAGAGAGAGAGAGACATTTACCTCAGATTTTATAAACATTTATTAACAATATACTCTGTGCTCAACTGACCTCTTAGTTAACAATTCCATTTAACAAAAACACATATACAGATAAAAAAAACAATTAGCATTTGTGTTATGGTTATTGTCTATATATATATATATTATAGATGTTTTAGTTAAAGGATAAAGGATAAAGAAAATATATATATATATTACATATTTTGTTTTGATTGACAAACTTAATTTTATTAATTGAAAATGTTTTCAGTGTAAAAAAGCAGGGAATCTTCAGCTTGTCAGTAAAAAGGTTGTCAAAGTTTTCAGAGAAATCTCTGTGTAAAGGGTGGAAGCTGCAGATGAATATTCACGACACGGAGCTCCGTCTCACACCGAGGAGAGGAGGCCGCAGGTTGCTCTCTGCCATTTACCCCCGATTTTCCTCAGTTTGAAAATCAATTGTATCGTATTGAAAATGCCTGCTGCGTGAATAGTTGGATAAATGACTAGTGCTGTGAAAACTGTCAAGAAGTTTTAGTCTTCAGTACAAAAACATGATTTTGCCAAACCGCTGTCCACTCTGTGTGGAGTCCCCAGCAAAGTGTAATCATTAGAAAAATGTAACATGTATTGGTGTGACATTATAGTATCTAAAGTGTAACATGAAAAACACACTCAGGTAAATTACAGCTCCAGAAATGAGGTTATGAATGGGATACGTGAGGAACATGTGTTAAATAATTAAATTATTTCTTTAAAAAAGGGGGGCGGGGACTGGGGCAATGGTGGAGACCTAGGAGTCTGTCATCGAGGGTGAAAGAGAGTTCTTGGGAAACCTTTTAAAAATACAAAAAACCTGAAAAATGAAAAGACTGAATGTAGCTTCAATAATATTTAATTTCTTTTTTCATTCTTTTGGTTTTATAGTCTTTTTATATGACATGGCAGAGAATGTCTACACCTTAAACCCTGTACTGTTACTATGCTTCTTAATGAATTCAATAAAAAAAATTAAATAAGAAAAAAAATGAGGGTGGGAGGGGACCCTGAAGAACACACCAAATGATATACCTGTGTATAGCAGAATACTCTGTATTAGATAAATGAAACATTAAGCCCTACATGGCTGTATGTAAGTGAGTGCATGGATGGGGTTGTAGCGAAACAGAGAAATTCCTACCTCCGATTAATATGCTGGTAAAACTCGAGGAGAGATCTGTGGAAACATGAAAACATTTCACAGATAAATATGTGACGACGTGGTCACGGTGGTGACAGTGAGTATGAAGCTGCGCTGGTTTCACTCACGCCAGGTGATGAAGTTATTTTGAGGAAACCCGACAGCTGAAGGTTTTTCAAATACTTTCAGCTCTGAATTCAAGCACGTGTGGAATTCAAAGAGTCTATTTCAGAGGTGGAGGGTGACACATGCTGTTTACACTGGGGCTCAGCTCTGCCCACACTGTCACAACCTTCTACATCACTGCGACCCCTGCACACTCTACACCACACACTTTTTTTTCTGGGGATTCACATTTTAAACATCACAAACCTTCGCGACCAAAAGACATTATTCGCAAACTCCTGAGAAACATGATGTGAAACGACCCAAAAAAAAAAAATCTCTTGCGACCCATCTAAGGGTCGCGACCCAGTCTTTGGGAAACAATGCTCTACACTATCTGTTTCAACAGGCTGGATAAACCACAGACAGTGATGATGATGTAATTTTAAAAAAGACCACTGGGGGAGCTGTCGTTCAGTAGAATTGAATTATCAGTAAAATCGCATGTGTTGATCATCATGATTATTAATTACTAACTTCAGGCCTGTTGCTGACGACTTATATCAGTGCTCCAGTGTAGATTTAGCCACAGCCACAACAGCTGTCAAACCACTGTCAATTTACAGGCTAAAAATGTATTAAATCTATCTGGAGTTTGTCTTTGTCCACTGTGTCCCTGAAGGCCTCTCTGTCCCTTTTTATCCACATTTTATTTTTCACCCTCCCCTAACCCTCGTCTTTGGTCTCTAGTGTCCTTCTCTGTCCCTTCACATTACCTCTCGGTCTGTCCAGTGTCCACCCGTGTCTTCTTCTGCTAACCCCACTGACCCCCCCCCCCCCCCCTCTCTGCATCACTTCTTATCTCCACGGTGACAGGCCTCAGAGACCTCAGCGTTGGTCCCCTGGTCCCTCTCTGACACACACTGATAAGACACTCCCTGTCAAACATTAGTCTTCTCACTCTGTCCAACATTAATGACAAACTTTCCTATTAAAATATGTTTTATAAAACAGAAATTATATCCAACATTTACTGTGATGATGTCACAGGCGAACGTACCAATCATTGCCACCGTCAGCAGGTTTGTCTCGACCGTTCTGTCACTGGAGTGATTTTCCAAAGTGAGTAAAAGGCGCTGTGAACTGAAAAACAAACATTTCTGAAATAAAAACTGTCAAAAGTTTTGATAAATGTCACACATAATGTAATATTATATGTATTTTTAAGATACCTTTGTGAAATGTCTTTGTGTCAGCGTATTTTGTTTTAACGTTTTCACCTTTTGCTAACATTAGACAAACACAGTCTGTGCTCTGGCAGGTTAGATTTTTGCACAGATGTCACGATTACTGGTAATGTTGTCACCTGACTGAACCGAAATTAAATTGAAAGAGATAAAAAGTGAATTTCTGGAAGTTAATGGCTCTAGTTATCCTCAAAGAATGAAGAACAAAAAGTAATAATGAAAAAGTGTTTGTTTTATGAACAGGCTGTTGTCTAGATGATTCTGTTGACAAACATTCATAGGCAACAGTAGACACAGAGGTAGATTGATCGATAGCCACTCCACACAGTTAGCTGCACGTGTCTGTATTGTTATTGACTGATAAGATGATGTGAGTATAAACAACAGAAGTCAGAGTTGAAACAACAGCTGTATCTGACTCTGACGTGGAATAACTTCGAAGAGTTTTTAATTAAAATTAAAAACAACAACAACAACAAACGGTAAAAGCGAAAGAATTAAAAACACTCACCGTAGTTTAAATCCACTGGCACCTTCTCATTCAACATAAATAACACCCACACACCCACACACCCACACACACACACACACACAGATGGGTGTGGTGTCAGTCCCCAGAGTCAGGATCTGTTCCTCCTTCGGCCAATAATGACTCCAACTCCACCTCTCTGATACTAAACAGCCCGCAGATGTCTGAGAGTCTGCAGCTCTCACACACACACACACACACACACACACACACACGGGTGCACACTGTGTTAAATTTGTTTTTCGATCTTTCTTGGACCACCTGCTGTCTTCTGTCCTGCTGTGATCCTTCAAACTATACTCACGTTCCATACAAACACACTGCATCTGAACAAACTGTGTGCATAAAAGATATTTTTCATTAGCCTGTCATGCACTGAGAGCTGTTAGCAACAGAATGTGTAGCACTCAACAGCCGAACCCTGGTCATAGTGATGACAGGATAGTCCTGAATAGAACTTAGGCAACATTTAGTTAAAGAAAACACCATAAATAAAATCTCTAACTTTTCCCCCCGGATCAGTGTCTGAGCGAAAGGTGACGTCACAGTGTAAAACTGATACATGTTTGACTCACGGTTCAAAAGCTCACGAGAGAAATCATAAAGTGAATTTCAGCGACTCAGGCTGAAGAAATGTTACAAATTAGCTATATCTGTTGGTTTTTGTTTTTTGTTTGTTTTGTTTTGTTTTTTTGTTTGTTTTTTTGTTAGTTTTATTGCAGTACAACTTGTATTTAAAGTGCTGCTTGTTTCTGCTTCTCTGATGATGATGTTTTCCCCTGGAAACATCTTTATTGAATGATAAAAAAAATATCAGTGTGCTGTGTTACATGGTTTTTTATGATACCTATTATTTTTTAATGTTTTTGGACCTTTTCTTTTAAAATAAAAAAATAGAACTCACATAAATCACTGTGGATCAAATGTTGTTGTTTTTTTTCCATCAAAATCATTCAAATTCAACAGATGTGAGATTTACCACCAAATCAACCACTGAACCTGGGAGGAAAGTGGGCAATGATGATAGCAGATACTGCCACCTGGTGGGGTTTCCAGGTAATACCGTTTAAACGAGTGGACCGGTAAGTTCCAAGCTCCTGTGAATGACTCACTTTGACTGGACATGAGTGTTATTTGGGCCACGTGGTGCCAAATATTGTAAGATGTTTGCCTTCACTCTGAGAAGATGGTGGTTCTCTGGTCCAACGCTGTAGACCAGCCCCAGATCTGACTTGGCTGGAACTCTTTTTAGTGACTTGGAGTTGGACTTGATACCCTGGAGACTAAACTAGCACCTCTTTGACTCTGATCTGGAGTCAGACTTGGACTTGACTCTGGTCTTTTTGATAAACTAGAATATGAAGATCATATATGTTTCAAAACTCGGGCAAAACTCACGGTCACTGGAGTCAATTAAAATCCCTGTCCTGATGTGAACTTGACACAAGTCAATCTTTTTTTTTTTTAGTTGAATCAGCGTTGTTTCTACGACCTGGACAATAGATCTTCAATTTGACTCAAATTATAAGCCTTTTTTGAGACTCAAATTCTGACTTAAAACTTTTGGGACTAGATTTAGAATATGTTAATGATTTTTGACTGCATTGTCAAAATGGAGTCTGATAGAAAAACCCTAAGGACTTGGGTCCATCTTTTCTTGACTTGAGTTTTGAAATTTGATTTGAATTTCCCGTGGACTGGTCGCAGAGTGGACAAAGATGCTGAGGATTTGAAAATTAAAAAAAATTCCACTGTCATTGTAACACAAGGGTTTCCAAAAAGCACAGTCAGCGTCTGTCGTTTTACAGGTCTACAGTTTATTATTTTAGTCTCACCAAAGAAACTGACAAACCTGCATCGAGCCTACATTCAAAATCACATCCATCCAAAACCTTGTTTTTGAAATGATAGGTAGTTTTAAGCCAGAGTTGGAGCAGGAAGCAAAACAACGGGAAATTGAATTTCTACCAAATCTACATTCAAAATCACACTCATGAAGTTGTTATTTGAAATAGTAGGTATTTTAGACCAAAGAGGAAGTGAGAGTTAAAACAAGACAACATTAATTTTCTACCAATCAGATTGAACTTGTTTGTAAATGATCACTTCCTGCTACACAGGAAGTGACAAGTTAGCAGCTAAATCTCCGAAAAAACAGGACATTTCAGAACACAAAACAATCTTCACATTCAATACTTGATAGTCAGCTTTCAAATGTATACATGTTTATTGTAGTTTTTGCTACTAGAAAGTCGAATAAGTGATTGTTGGATGATAAAACACTGTCCCTGTGTGCTAGGTTCTAATCTGCTGCTGTAAGGCACATACTGTAAAGGTGACTCATCTGACATGTTTTCACTGTGGTCTACACACATGAGTGAATGAGTTGGACATCTAACACTAAGTCAACTTTGTGACAGGCAGCCAGACTGGACTAATCAGCTTTGGCTATTGGCTGGATATGTGTTTTCCCACCATGCTCTGCTGTGGCTTCCTATCTCTCTTTCTCTCTCTCTCTCTCTCTCTCTCTTTCTCTCTCTCTCTCAGCTTTGCTTATTCCCTCCCTCTCTCTCTCATCTCTTGGTCTTTCTCTCTCCCTCTCTCTCTCATCTCTTGCTCTCTCTCCCTATCTCTCTCTCTCTTAATTACTCGTCCTCGTGTGCAAAGAAGTCGTGGCAACAGACAGTGACTATGGAGATGAATGTCATGAACTCCTGGAAATCACACTCCGAGTCGCCGTCCGTGTCCAGACCTTCCATCAGGCTGTCCAGAGAGGCCTGGTCTTTCACATGCTGCTGGGGGAGGGAGTGCAGGGTTCAGTTGGGGACACACACACACACACACACACACACGCCCTTTTCCCCAAAATGTTGTTACAGTCTTTTAGCCAAAACAAGGCTAATTTTCTGAACTTCTTTAGTAGCTACATATTTGTTTACGATAGCCTAACAGATATAGTTTTTTATGCTGTTTTGTTTTTTGTTAATGTTGTTAAACTGGACAGATTTGTGGTTTAGGTTTAAAAAAAAAAACTTAAATATTTATAAAAATATATCTCTATTAACCCCAGCAGGTGTAATACATGGATTTAATATGTTGGAAATACAAAATTGTGTACTATTCAGTGAGAACATAATTCAGTCACATTGTGAACACATATATCACAATGTGAATGTTATAAATCAAGTCATTGTCCAGTAGGTGAAATCTGAGACAGCCTTGACTCACTGATGACCAGCTGAGGTCATTGGCTGTAGTCCTATAGCACAGAGCACCTGCCATTTGAAAGAGCTGTACACCTCCAATGGCATTTTACGTAAACCTGAATTGGCACGTTTTTGTTTTTGTTTGACAAATGCAATCAGCTTTTAGATTGTCACAGACATTCTTACACTGACATCATATAAAGTTGGTCTCCACTAGGATTCCAACGGGAGCTGCGTATCCTTGGAGTTACAACAACATTTCCAGATCACTTACACAAGAAAACTGTGAGCCGAGGAGGGTAGCATCACTGCAGCGAATAATAATAACAACATTACATTATTACTGCGACTCATTAAAATGACTCTAAAATGATTGGATGTTTTTGAGGGAACTCGTCAAATTCTATCACAGCTGGTTTTAGACCCTTGAATAAAATCTTCCGTCTGATTGGTGTAGCCACTGCACTCTTATCTTTACTGCCTCAGCAGGGCACTTTTTAAATCTTTATTTGCCTCAGCTTCTCCTCACCGCCATTAATCCAGGCAGCTCCTCCTGAAGCAGCTCCTTCAGCTCGCTCTTCTTCAGCTTGTGTCTGTCCCCTTCCCTCTCCGAGTACTTCTGAAAGACTGCGATGATGGTGGCCATCGATGTCTCCAGGTCAGTCATCTTCAGCCGTTAGGTCTGAGTGAAGTGACCACATGGTGTGATGTCAGACTAATTTCTACTGTACTGTCTACTAAAATATGTCAGTAACATGGTTCACCTCACAGAAGACTGTGTGAACGTGTGTTAAATGAATAGACAGCGTTGGTTCTAAAACTGACCAATCGCTGCTGACCTTACCTCAGGGTCAGTCCCAGCACAAGTCCTGTGTCGTGTTTGCAGAAAGTCCAGGCTGATGATGATGATGATGATGCAGATGCATTTATACTGCTGCAGAGTGGTGGGTGGAGGTGTGGAGGTCAGCCAGCCTGTCAATCACACCGCTGACCAATCCTCTGTGTCCACTTCCCCTCACTCCACTATGAAACCCTGCTCTGGTCAGCACTGAGGAGGACCAGGTCTGACTCTCTCTCTCTCTCTCTCTCTCTCTCTCTCTCTCCCCACTCTCTCTCTCACCCACTCTCTCTAAACGGATAACAAAGTCAGGTCTGTCCCTGGCCGTGGGGGAATGTTTACTTTCTAATTTTACTTTTACAGTATATTAACTGTTGTCAGTCCATGTGTGACGTCCATAAATCTGTCAGCTCCTCGTTACTTCCTGTTGTTCTTTATATGTTGCACAGTGAGTTTTTGAATTTAAATCCAGAGTTTCGGAGGAAACGCAACAGCAGCCTCAGATAATTCATATTGAAATTGACTGTTTACAAACCAGTCAACATGTGACTGAAGCTATAAAACTCTGGCCTCAGTACACTTGGACATTTGTCCGGGCACAAAAATTCCTTCCATCCCAATCAGATCAGTATTTAGAATCTGAGCCACAAACCTAATCCAAAATACAGAATATATATTTGGGCTAATCATGTGGACAGAAGGCGGCCATTTAACTGAGACGTGACCCACATTTTGAATACCTATAAAATGAATATAAACTGTGAACTCTTAAATTCCATTTATCAATTGACACTGGTGAAAGTTATACTTGGAACCTTTCATTAAATTAAACATGAGCAGTGCTCTTGTCTTTAAAGCAGTTTTTATTATTATTATTTATTATTTCAGTCATTTTTATTTCACGGTTACGTTCCCTGAAAATAATCAGTATATGAGTCTGACAATGTTTTGTCAACATCCTTAATAAAAACTAAAAAATTTAACAGCAAGACCCTCTCACAAAATAAAAAAAATTAACAAAATTTTTTTTAAAAATCCTAAATCACCGTGCTGTTTATCTCCATTGGTCCAAAACACATTTATCTTTGTCCTGCTTTAATCTGGATCTGACCGTCCTGCTTGTGTTCCAGCATCTGCTTCAGCACAAAGGCCTGTTTCAGAGGAACTGGATGGTTACGCATGTTAATGAAGAAGCTCTTTTCACTGCCCAAGTTAGCCAGACGTGTGCCCTCTGCAGCCCAGAGAGAAGACTCGAACACTGCAGCTGCTTCTTAAAAAAAAACAAAAAAATCATCCTCACTATAAACACAAAACAAGGCTGTAAGAAAACTTGAGATGTCTTTTATTATTTTCTTCGAACTTATTTCGCACTATGAACATATGTGTCATCCTGAGCTGAAATATTGATTGTGTTAATCAGCGTCAGTGAATAAGAGTGAGGTTCTCAGCTCTGATGTCTGTGTCAGCAGTTATAACAACAGTCATTAGTATCACTGTAGCCACGACGTGCTACATTTTTGGGATGACTTCTTCCATCCTTCCTCCTGTTTCCTTGTATTGTTGGCTTCAGAGAACAGCATTGCATTGTGGGATGATAAACTGTTTCTTTGTCGGATGATAAATACACTCCTCACGCGGGTGAGCACACAACGTTTTTTTTGTCCGTCTGAAACACTGGAACTCTGTGCACAGAACGTGCTGGAACACAGCCAAAAATACTGGAAACTAAAGTTATGCAGCCGGGCGAGAGAGCATCATTTATCATTTTTCTCACTCTCTCTCTCTCGCTCTCTCTCTCACTTTGCTAAGTGTGTGTACAATATCATACGAGTCGGGCTAATTAATTATTTAGAATTAAATATAATTTACTGTATAGCGCACTGTTAGAGCAAATATTTGTTTATAATATTAGCCAGTTTGTTTGGTCAAATTTTTGGTGAGCCACAAATATGTTTTTTAAAATGGTAAGATTTTTTTAACATTAAAAAAGTAAAATCAATATTTTAAATGTAATCCTGAATTATTAATGAATTAATTAATCCTGTTATTCTAGTTCCTGTATTATTAATCCTGTATTATTAATAATGCAATCCTGTATGTATTTAAATGTATTTATATAAATTAAATCCTGAATTTAATTTATATAATGTTTTCATTTGGATTTTCTTTTTAAAAATATACATTTGTTTAGATAAAATATTTTAAATTAATTTGTACTCAGAAACGTTTTTACCAAAAAAAAAATTGCTTTATAAAAATAAATGTGAATGGGTTCACCCAAATAGTTTGGTAAATTTAAATAATTTTTTTTTTTAAACTATAAACAACCAATTAGAGGCAGCTGGAGCCAATCAGTCATTTGTTGCCCATGAAATCTTAATTGTTTTAATTAATGTTAATCAAATACAAACTAGCTTTTGAATTTGTTTTTAATGTAAAACTTTTTTACTTTTCTGGATGCCACCTACTGGTTTCTACCTTGTACTGCAGATTACCTGAGGTCATATGGTTTATTTTGTTAAAAGATTCTAGCAGACTCGACTTGAGTGTGTGACTGTAAAGGATCCCCCCGCCTTGTTGTGTCTTTGCACATATTTGCTCCAGGGAGACGTCGCCCTCAAACACTCTTCACAGAGACAGTCATGTTGCTGGAGCTCAGCTGTCGCCATGGTAACTCCACTTATGACCTCCTGCTGTTCTAAAGAAGGTTCGCCAGAGCAGTGAGTCACTCGGTCCCTGGCATCCCAGCATAATCTGAGATTATAGCATGGACAGGACCACACTTAAACACACACACACCCACACACACAGTGTCGTTTGCTGAACTTTTTTTCAACTTAGTGGGTAAAAATGTTCATTCATAATTGTTTGTTCTTTTAATTGATAAGGTATTTTAATCCAATCATGACATATTTAACCCCGTCGTCATCTGTTCAAGGTTTAAATCATGGATATTTGATAGGAAGTACGGATATTTTGGACATAAATAAATTCATATCAATATTAAAATACAGTATCATGTAGTGTTAGTCATTGTACTCAATGGCAACTAGAGGGCAGTAGTGTGTCGTGCTTAAGTCAGCCTGTCAAGTTTTATATTTGCAGTACATCATTACACCCATGACATACAGCCACAAATGGTGAAATGTTAGAGGAAACGTATCACAAAGAAGAGAAAAATATTGAAAATGAATTTAAAAGAATATTTAAAACTGGAGAAATGGAGGGAAAAAAGTCAAGATGATTAAAAATGACATTTCAAATGGGTGCTAATTAGTCAAATGACTCCTAATGCTGTCATTAAGTATATTTGTTTTAATTCAACAACACGATGTAAGTTGAATCAAAGTATCTCAATATTGATAAAATCTCAAATATTTCATAATTAATCTAATACTACATTATTACAGTGAAAAGCAAATGTGACATGGAAGTCATTTAAAAGTAAACGAGGAGTGTACTGTGTCATGTTGTGTTGGTCTTCAGTGATGCCGACCCCTGCCTGTGATTTCACATTTACCCATAGTTTGAGGAGAAGAAAGAAGTGGCAGTAATAGAACTTTAGGAATGCCATCTGCTGCTAAAACCCAACAAAGAAGAAACTGATGATGGGCGGAGGGACTTGATCACAAGCATACAGTACATATCATTATTAGGTTATATGCTGTTTGTTTACATTTTGAAATCCCATCACTTTTTGATCAAAATCAGGATGATTTCTGGATCTGAGAAGTGAAAACAAACCCCAGCTTCTTTCTGTTCTGCTGACTGCAGCTTCCATCACCAACACAATGTTGATGTTCTTCTCAGTGGTCACACAGTGACTGTGCTGTTGTGTGTCTCCCCCCGGGGCAGAGCGTATGAACTGGCTGGTGTGACTCGTGCTGTTCTCTACATTGTGTGTTCCCTGAGTTATGGCTCTAATTAAGACAGTCAGGTGAGATGTGAAGGTCATCTGTCGCTGCCTGGGGCTCACGGGATGTTTCGGAGGTTTCTCATCTCTTTATTTCTACTCCAGCCTTGTCAAACAACCATCATTTATCTCTGCAGGTTATTGTGTCTGGGAACAGCCCTTTAACTGTCCAACTTTTATTAAACCATGAGAATGAGTGACAAAGTGTCATAAATCGAAGGAAAAAAAAGTGTCTTCAGCTGCTTCACCAGTGTTCTACCTACAGGGCTCCGCGACTTACGTCACAGTTCAGTGCCTTGCTGCGACATTACTTGAAATTTCAACATTAAGTCAGAATTTACATATAATTACAGATTGCACATTCAGATATGACTGCGTTCAATAAAAAGCTATTTATGGGACTGAAAATGGTGTGACTTAGAAAACCGCAGAGTGACCAACTCATGTGGCTTCTCTTCTCTTTTAATCCCATAATCCTCTCCTTTCCTGCCACACTCTTAGTTCCACCTTCTCTCTCCATCAGATTACACATTCTTAGATCCAGTGTGAGGATTATAAATTAATATTATATATCATCATTTTTTGAAAACCATAAATTACTTTATATTTTTCCAATACAAAATCTCTGTATAATGAATGTTTATTACTTAAAACAAAACATAATTTTTGAATAAAAAATATGATATATTTATATATAATATTAATTTCCATTATTACATTGATTGATTGTACTATATATATATATATACATATATATATACACTGTGATTTGCAGTTTACTTGCACAGTTTGAATCATCCTGACAGATTCACATGAATCATGTGTCATGTCCCTGCATCATGAACAGTTTAAACCATGACATCAGAGAAAAATCAAGCGTTGAAAGCACTTCCTGTTCTAGTGAGAGCATGTCTTTATGGCACGAACATCCATGTTTCAGTAACGAGTAGTATTTTTTTATGTTTTTCCATCTATCCATCTATTTTCAGCCGCTTATCCGTTACCGGGTCGCGGGGGCAGCAGTCGCCACCCAAATCACACTGCACCGTACCAACGTAAGAGGTAAGAGAAATCATAACTTGAACCCATTAGACACTCGGACTGCACATGTTATGATGTGCATCACGTACCTTTTAATTGTTCAAATGATTAATGTACATATGTATTACATAACAGTTACTGTAAAAGTTGCCCCTTAAACACAGGGAAACACTTTCTCTACATTTGAATAGAGTCATTTAGGACTGAACGTTT